AAAAAAAAAAAAGGGGTTCGCTATGCGTTGGCGCGTCGCGTCGCATGAAAAAGGGGACCGTGGAGTCTCCAGGACGTAACACTATGTATTCTAGCGTTTAGGTGGAGAACCTATAGGAATACCTTCTCCTCCTAGGAGGAGAAGGTATTCCTATTACATAGGAAGATGTGCAATGTTGACAAGACATGCGATAAACGACATTTTTTTGTTTGTTGTATAAAACAGAATCTTNATGTGTTTTGACGAATTTTGACAGCTGGTTCAAATTGCGATATGTGGGAATAATAGTTTTGTTAGTGATCTTTATATGATTGAACTTATTGTTATAATTATGAATGTATGGTAGGACAAAAAAGAATTTTTCAGTATTCGTCCTCTTCCGGTTCAGAAATGTTAATATGCTTATTTAGTTTGTTTATAAACAATGCTCTCAATCTTCTATTAATATTATAAAAAATTACTGTATAGAATAGTTGTTGTTTAATAAAATGTTAATAATATGTTGTAAATTTTTTTTGTGAAATTGTGGATCTGATAAGAGTTTGGCTCTGTCTACAATTGAGAATATAGTACCAATTTTTTGACTAATAAAATTTTGTGAATGATAATTCAAATATCGACAAGAATAAGTCGATTTACGATACCAATCGCAAATCAGCTTATTGTTGTCATTATAATTAAAATGTCAAGAAAATTGATAGAATTGTAAATATGCATAAGAAAGAGGCAAGCGGACCAAAGAACAACTAAAGATGTTATTTAAAAAAGAGAAATAAGTAGAAGAAAATTGTAAAGTACAACTAAAAAAACAGTGCGTTTTTGTTAAACAATGTAAAGTACACCTACAATTAAGTATAATAATATGATTGTTATAACAATTGTAACTTGTATTTAAGTAGAAATCTATCTATTTTTTATATACAATGGTCTAAATCACTTACGGTGGTGGAGATAGATATATATTAATGTTATAATTTTTTATATTTTAATTTTGTTTTAAAGTATGATGTTCTTTGTTTTATTACTTATAATAATCGTAAATTTACTAACTGTAGCAAATCATACATGAATGTTTTATTTGCTCTATGATTCATTACGTAATGTGATTTTTAAAACTATGCGGTCTTCATCTTCTTTAGAACAATAGT